AACATTTCTGTTGACCTGCATAATCCTGAATCTTTCCAAAAACGCAGTTTTTGGTACGTTGATCATGGTAGTCCGTGAAACTCTTCAACATGTTTAAACCTGTGCGCGGCGCTACGGCGAGAGCCACATGCTAAAAAGGAGCCGCCCTCAATCCGCACAAATCTTGCAATGTATTACAAAGAATGTGGCGTTAAGGCGAGAATCACATTTTGAAAACGATACGCCCTCAATCCGTGAAGCTCTTGCATATTATAAGATGAATGTGCGCGGCGCCACGGCGAGAACCACATTTTGAAAACGACCCGCCCTCTTGAAAATCCTGTAAATTGTTGCGACGAATGTGTGCTGCCCTAATGCGAGAGCCACATTATGAAAACGACCCGCATTCAATCCGTGAAACTCTTGCAAATGTTCAAACGAATGTGCGCGGTGCTAAGGCGAGAATCACATTTTAAAAGCGACACGCCCTCAAAATGTGAAGCTCTTGCAAATGTTTAAAACGAATGGGCTCGGCGCTAAGGCTAGAACCACATTTTGAAAACGACCCGCCCTCAATCCGTGAAATTCTTGTCAATGTTTCAAACGAATATGCGCGGCGCCACGGCGAGAACCACATTTTGAAATCGACACGCCCTCAATCCGTGAAGCTCTTACAAATGTTTACAACGAATGCGCGCGGCGCCAAAAGCGAGAACCACATTTTGAAAACGACACGCCCTCAATCCGTGAAGCTCTTGCAAATGTTTCAAACGAATATGCGCGGCGCCACGACGAGAACCACATTTTGAAAACGACCCGCCCTCCATCCGTGAAGTTCTTGCGAATGTTTAAAACGAATGCGCACGGCGCCAAAAGCGAGAACCACATTTCGATAACGACGCCCTCAATCCGTGAAGCTCTTGCAAATGTTTAAAACGAATGCGCGCGGCGCCAAGGCGAGAACCACATTTTGAAAACGACCCACCCTCCATCCGTGAAGCTGCTGCCACCTTTGAGGAAGTCATGCATCAAAGCTGCCCATCAAACTCACTGCCGTCCATCTGTGAAGCGGCTGCGTCGGAGTCATCAGCGGTGAGGAAGTCTCAGGCGAAGTTCCCGGCCCGCTCGTAAGACTGGCTTCGGGGTGCGACAGGGAACAGTTTTTTCATAAGGAAAAGGAATGGAGGAGGAGGAGGAGGAGGAGGAGGAGGAGGAGGAGGAGGAGGAGGAGGGGGGGGGGAGGAGGAGGAAAAGGCCTGCCCCCTCTCGCTTCCCCCCCCCGGGCACGCGCCGCAACGGGGGTCCCAGCCGGAGCGCCGGATCCTGCAGGATCCTGCGGGATGCGGCAGGTCGGTCGAGCCGGGTTTGGGGTGCCGCTCGCGGCCCCCGGAGATGGCCTCGCGTATCCCACGCGCCTTATAATTCAGGATCGGAGGTGGATAGACCTCCTACACTGACACGTCGATTAAAAAATTGGCCGTTTTCGGTTCGCGAGAGGGCGTCGCGGTCGTCATTTTTGCGGGTCCAGGTCCGTCGGTTTCGGTCCCAGGCCGTTTTCACTAAGGGAAGGTTTTTAAAGGGAGGTTTGTCCACCGCCGAAAGGAGGGGAAACAACACAGACACAATCCATCGTCGATTCCCAGGAAGATATGGGAAAATATGGAGTGAGGGGGAAGACGAAAACCCAGAAGATATAGGACAAATACGGGATATCATGTTATTTGTGTGTATTTATTTGTGTGTCCCAGGGCCCCTTCAGTAATCCACGCGCCTTTATAAGTGATAAGTAAATCTTTGGGCCCCCCTGTGGCGGAAGGCCCCGCTGGGAACCCATGACGAGCCCCTGTGTGACAGAAGGGCTCGTTTTTTCCAGTTCACGTCGTCCTCGTGCATTTGTTGTACAGTGTCGTTGTGTTCCTGGCAGGTTGTTCATTGTCGTTGTGTTCCTGGCAGTGGGGGCCCATGCCAAGAGACACCCTGCTTGCCTCCAGGGTACCCAGGGCGTCTTGTGTTTCGAGGGTTTTGCTGTGGAAGGCGTGGCGTTCCCGCACCGAAGATCAAGGGACGTCCTGGGGTCTCAGGGTTGGGTTTCTTGTGGAGGGTTTCCTTTGGACGGGCTTCGCCACTGTATTGGCTGAGCCAGGTGTGGGAACCCTCGCACGGTTGCAGATCACTTTGTTTGTAAATTGATCGAGCCAGGTTTGCGCCGAGCCGGGTTAGCCCGCGCCCGAGGCGGCGGCGGCGACGGCGACGACGGCGAGGACGATCCAGGCCTCCCAAGCGGGGTCCGAGTGGATGGGATCGGAGGATCGCCGATGCGCCGCGCCGCCGATGCATCGCCGATGCGGCTCGACGCGGCGCACGATTCTCGCCGCGCCGACGTCGCCGATGCGTAGCCGTTGCATCGCCGGTTCGGACGAAACGGAGGATCGTTGAGGGACGTGGGGGTCACGGCATCTTTTGCGTATGTTATCATCTTGAAGCATATCTCTACCGACCCCTATGTTTGGCATCACTTTACTTCCGTTCCGATCTTAAGGATCCCCTCCTGTTCCTGAGAGCACATCCCAAATATTGTCATCGCCTGTCGCTTGCAGATCTCAGGGATAGGGCCAGGTTCGAGGCTGGTTAGTACGGCTTGTTTCGCCCAGCTGCCATGCGCGTTCCTCGATATTTACACTGGCGTCTCCGGCGCCATCTAGCCAGCTGCGTGCGCTGATGCGCAATACGCCGATCGTTGAAAGTATGCATTTTTGGGTTTCCATGTCCCAACCTACTGCTAGGGCCTTTTCGACTTCAAGAACCCAATCTATGTTATCTTCCTTCCCACTGCATGCATCCACGTAGTTTGTTTCCACGGGCGGGTAATCCCTCCTTTGGTACCACCTTTCGTCCGACCGAAGCGACGGCGGCGGCGACGAGGACGAGGACGAGGACGGCAATGATGACCTAGTTAGGTCATCCGCGGCGGCGCGACGATAATCGCGCTTCGCGCGTCGCGTCTTGGGACGCTGGCTTATCCTTGCAACTCGGGTCGGACACAGCGGGGGGATAGGGAAAAGGGCGGGTGCGATGTCTGCTGCATGCAGCTGGTTTCGGGCCAGCCTCCTGGCGTCTTCTTCTTCGATGTGCCGGCGCCTTCGGCACCAGGAGGCGCCTGGAGAACCAGCTTCGTTAGCCGATTCTCTACGATACCCTCTGCTACCCTACCCTTGCGCCCCCAAGGGGCGGGTGCGATCTTTGCTCGGTGCAGCTGGCTTCGGGCCAGCCGCCGGGCGCGCTCTTCGATATGCTGGTCAGGAAAAGGACTAAGGTACGTGACTCGATTGGCTACCTGTTCCTTTGCTATCCCCCCCCCCCTTGCGCCGTCCGACCCGGGCGGCGCCGAGGACGAGGACGAGGACGGCGAAGACGAGGCTGGTTGCTTTCCGCCTCCCCCCCCTCGAGGCCTTCGCCCTGCCAGCCCCGTGTCTCTCTGCTGTCCCCTCCCCCAGCCATTCGCCCCGCATCCTCCGCCCCCCCCCCCCCGCCTCCCTCTCTGTCCTCCGCCCCTCCCGCCCCCCCCTTGCCCGAGGAAGCGAACACACGGACGAAGGCGCGTGGACTAGCGACGGGTCCAGCTTCCGTGCATCATTGCCGTCGTCAAGTCACGCGGCAACGGCTTCATTGTAGAAGATTACGTTTTGCGGATCCGTCGTTCTGGCACTCAGGCGCCAGCAGATCCGCGGATCCGTAATCCATGTCCGCGTGCGCCTGACATTCGCCCTTCATCTTCCGTTCCTCCGCCCTTGTCCTCCCAGGCCCGCCTTCATCCTGACGCGGCCGACCCGATCCACTTTCGATTCCGTGCCGATGCAGCCCGATCCGACACACACACACAAACACTCTCTCTCTCTCCCGCTCACGCACGCACAGACGCACACACGCGCACGCACACGCACGCACGCACGCACGCACACACACACACGCACAGACGCACACACGCGCACGCACACACACACACACACGCACGCACTTTCGGCGCTCGCGGCCTCGGAGAAGCACGTCGAGCAGTCGTCACCGAACGGGCGCGGTCGCGGCCAGGCCCTCAGACGCGGGACCGCATCGGATCGACCGCACACACAACCACGCACGCGCGCGCACGAACGCACGCACGCACACGCACGCAAGGACACGCACACGCACGCACACGCACACGCCCACGCACACACGCACACGCACGCGCACGCGCACGCGCACGCGCACGCACACACCCACGCACCCACGCACGCACGCACGCACGCACGCGCGCGCGCACGCACACACATACACACACACACACACGTGCACGCACACGTGCACGCACACACACGCACACATACAAACACACACACACACACACTCACACTCACATTCACACACACACACACACACACACTCACACACGCGCACACACACAGGCGCACACTCGCACACACGCACACACTTACACACACCCACTTACACACACACACACACACACACACACACACACACACACACACACACACACACACACACACACACACACACACACACACACACACACACACACACACACACACGCGCGCACGCACGCACGCACACGCTCGCACGCACGCGCGCACGTGGCGCACGGACGTGATCACAATCCCGATGGCAGCCGCCGTCCCGGTCCGAGGCGCGCTGCTCCTGGCCCTGCACGTCCTCGGCCTCGCCTCCCGCTCGGCCCCCCCCTCCTTGTCGGAGGGAGGAGAAGCGATAGCAACACCACCAGGGGGCCCACCTCCGGCGAGGAGGCCCACGATGCCTCCCCGAGCTGGATGCCGGGGATGCCTCGAGCGAGAGGGGGGGACCCCACCACCAGCGAGGGAGATCCTCCTCCTCCTCCTCCTCCTCCTCCTCCTCCTCCTCCTCCTCCTCCTCGCACCTCCTCGCACCTCCTCGCACCTCCTCGCACCTCCTCGCCCTGCTGGTGCTGGCGTCGCCTTTCCTCGCCCCCTCCCCCGGGGCCCCCGGGCGAGGCCACCGCGCTGAGGGCCCCGAGCGCCGGGCGCTCCTGGCTCGACGCCCTCGCGGCGGAGGACGGTGGGGCCCCGCCCCCCCGAGGCCGCCCGGGGCGGGGCGCGCCTCGGCCTCGCCTCCTCCTCCTCCTCCTCCTCCTCCTCCTCCCCTCCTCCTCCTCCATCTCCCCTCCTCCATCTCCTCCTCCCCATCTCTCCTCCTCCTCCTCTCCTCCTCCTCCTCCCTCCTCCTCCTCCTCCTCCTCCTCCTCCTCCTCCTCGGCCTCGCCTCTCCAGGAGCCCAGGCCCCCCAGATGCGCGGACGTCGATTGCAGTCAAGTCGCTGAAGTCAGGAACCATTTGGGTTCGGAAGGGGCTCGATGTCCCTCGGGGTCCTTAGTTGCTGTTCCTCTTGCCCTCCTTCGGAACGGAGGCGCTTTGAGGGCCAAAAATGGGCTCCTATTTAGCGTTCCTTCTTGCAGCGGCCCGACTGTAATGGAGAGGCATCACGCTGCCAAACAATTTCCACATGTCTAAAAGATGTTCCATACAGGTTTTGAGTATGTTAAAAACATGTTTGAAACATGTTTAGAACATTATTACACATGTTAACCCGTTTTTCTCTATTCACTGATAGGATTGTTAGAGTGTCCATCGTCATGGCATCCACCACCCTAGATTGAAGTCGGGCGTGCCCCTCTACAGAAGGAACATGCAGAAAGAGTCAACACAATAGTACGAGGACGATGTTTTGAGTATTTGGGGGCATGTTGTATCTACGTCTCCTTATTTCTATGTACATATGTGTGTGTGTGTGTGGTGTGTGTGTGTGTGTGTGCGCGTGTGTGTGTGTGTGTGTGTGTGTGTGTGCGCGTGTGTGTGTATCGGCCAAAATCCGCCCGTAGGAGGACATGCCCGACCTAGCCCCAGATATGGGGTCCGAGTGGAGGGGGTCGGAGGACCGCGCCGCGGCGCCGATGCATCGGCGATGCGGCTCGACGCGGAGCCCGATTTTCTCCACGCCGGCGTCGCCGCTGCACCGCGGACGTCGCCGCCGCATGGCCGATGCATCGGCGCTGCGGCGCAATCGGATCCTCCGACCCCGGCTGCTCGGACCCCAGCCGGGAGGCCTCGCGGGAGGCAGGCGGGGAGAGGAGAGGTTGGGCGCCGCGTAATGGCGGGGTCATAAATGGGGGGGGGCGGGCCAGCGTGGTCCGAAAAGGTACCCAAACGGTACCTGAACGAGCCCCCTGGGGCTCTGGAGGGGCCCGAAAGGGGCACGGCAGGGGACCTTTTCTGACCCCCCCATTTGTGACCCCCCCATTACGCCACGCCCAAGAGAGGGGGCCGAGAGAGGGGGTGCCCGCCCGCCCGCGGAGGCGGCCCGGCGCGGCCCTCGGGGGAGGGTCTCTCCGCGGTCTGGGCCCGGGGCCGCGGCTCGCGGGCCAGGGGGGTGACGAGCGAAGAGCACGCACCCATACCCATCGGTCCTTGAAAGGAGGTATTTTGGGATTCCCAGATTCCAATCTACTTTGAGCGCCTTCCTGCTTCAAGAGTCGAGGGGGGTTCCCCCTTCCCTCCTCTTCAGGAGGCGGGCGGGAACCCGATCTATTTCCAACGCCTTCCTACTTCATGTTTCTACCTACTTCTTCCGACCGATGGGTACCCATAGAGAGGACGGAGGGGGCTCGGGGTGCGTGTTGTCAGATGGGGGTCTCCGACAACCCGTACCCATACCCATAGCAAGTCCTCCTCCCGCCGACCCCCCTTATGGGTATGGGTGTGTGTTGTCCGTTCGTCAAGGGGGGTGTTGCTGCGAGAGTGGGGCGAGACGCCCCTGGCACCCACGGGCTGCCCGGCAGTGCAGTGGAGACCCATGCCGAGAAACACCCTGCTTGCCTCCAGGGTGCCCTGGGTTGCCTGGGTTTCGATGGCTTTGCGACTGAAGACGTGACGTTTTCCAAACCAAAAATCAATGGACGTCCTGGGGTCTCAGGGTTGGGTTTCTTGTGGAAGGTGTCTTGTGGTCGAGCTCCCAGTGTATCTCGGCTGTCGGAGGGGAGGGAGGAGGAGGAGGAGCAGGAGGAGGAGGACGAGGAGGAGCAGGAGGAGGAGGAAGAGGAGGAGCAGGAGGAGGGGGGGGGTGAGGAGAAGAAGGAGGAGGAGGAGGAGGAGCAGCAGGAGGAGGAGGAGGAGGACGTCTGAGAGGGAGGGGAGGGGTCTGAGAGTGAGGGAGGGGGGGGTAGAGCTTGGAGCCGTCGGGGGGTCTGGGGTGGCCCAGCACTGGCGCCAGCCAGCAGGAAGGGCGGGCAGGCTCGAGGTTCAGGGTTCGGGAAGCAAGGGCTCACTCCAGGGCGCGAAGTTATTCGCGCTTCGCGCTTCGCGGTCCTCGTTCCTTCTCCCCCTCCTCCTCGTCATCCTATTCTCCCTTTGGGAGGGCGGCGCGAGAGCGCGAAGTTATTCGCGCTTCGCGCAGCGCGAAGCGCGAAGTTGGGAGCCCTTGATGTTTCAGGAGGGGAGAAACACACAGACACAATGAATCGTCGACTCCCAGGAAAATGCGGGGCAAGTCTTGGGAAAGTTGGGGAGTCATGGTATTTGTGTCTATTTATCTGTGTGTCCCAGGCCCCCTTCATTTTTCGGCCTCCGGGGTCCTCATTCGGATCCTTGGAATCTTGTCCAGGGCGAAAAATTGTACCAGATTGACCCTGGATGTCGATCTTGAGCGGATTTGGGTTCATCCCCTGCCCCTGATCGACCTCCTGGGGCCCCAACCAGTTCGGACCCCCCGGCCGCCTCCAAAAGAGAACGCAGACATGTGAGCGACGAAGGACAGCGGGGGCGTCTTCACCGATATTGGCGCGTAAGCTGCCCGCGAGAGGTCTGAGAGAGAGGTCTGGCGCAAGAGGTATGGAGCAAGAGGCCTGGGGGAGAGGTCTGAGAGGAAGGGGTGGACCTGCAGACACGTGTGGAGAAAGTCCGCAAGAGATCGGGACACCAACAATGACATAAAACATAACAACTCGGAGGTCCGCCCAGATTCCTCGGGTCGGCATTCGAGCCCCCCCTGGCGACGCATCCTGCGCCGCCCCTGGCGAGCTCCGCTCGCCAGAGAGGGGGGTCCAGCGCCGATCCGAGAAATCCGCGCGTACCTCCGAGTTCGTATGTTTATGTCGTTGCTTGCTCCCCCATGTCATGGATCAAGTCCACGCAAGAGTAAAACGTAGTTCGGAGGGTGGGCGCGGTGCGTTCACGGTGCGTTCACGTGGCCGTCTTATCGACATGTTCTGCGAGGTGCTGGCGTTCGCCGTCTCCAGAGCACCGTGCTCTGCGGGTTGTCAACGCGTGCGGCCGTTTCGGCACCGCGGTGCGAGGTGTCAACGACTGCGGCCGCCTTGGCCCCGTGGTATGCATGCTGTTTGCGCGATCCCGTAGAAGTGCCCCTACCAAAGGCTCAGCACAGACCCTGGTCTGGGAAACGTTACTCTCACGCGATCTGGAGAAATGCAACCCCAGACAATGGAAGAACCGAAAGCACCATAAGCACAATTTCTCGGAGGTCCTCGCGGAATTCTTGGATCGGCGTTGGGCCCCACCCCCCTTGCGGCGCCTCCTGCGCCGCCCTTGGCGCGCTCCGCGGGCCGCGGAGGGGAGTCGAGCACAGATCTAAGAAGTTAGCGCAGACCTCCTCTTCGTGCAACTTGTTTTTACTCCTCTCTAAGTGCTCGCGGCGGAGGGCTTTTGCATTGTTCGGCCTCCTGGGCCTTCTCTCTCTCTCCGGGCCATACCGATTCGGGATGAGGACTTGTCCCTGGTGCTATGATGTTCCAATCTACTTTAGCCTTGAGTCGATCGCCAGCAAGAATTTCGAGCACCAAGAAAGTACCGACACTGGAGGGTTTCCACGTGTCGGTCCTTTGGAGGCGATGCTCGTTCGACACTGTTCTGTTTGGATCCTTTTCTGGCTGCTGGAAACTATTTCTGGGATGTGGTCCTTAAGTGCGATGGGAATAGCATAGCCCTGGGGGAAGACAGGGCCAGGACCTCCGAGGACCCTGTGCCGAACAATTGAAGACGTCGAATGTATGTCAAGGCCAGGGGAGAAACAAGCTAGGTGCGCTCGCATCTGACATCCGATCCCGCCCTCCCAGCCCTTCCCATGGCGCGGATTGTCCCGCAAGGGGCGGGGGCCCAGGGTATTCATTTAGTTGGTCACCCTTTCCCTGGGTGCCATGTTTGGGGGGGGGGGCGGCGGCATTCCATTCGATCAGTAAAAACAAGGTCGAGTCGCATCCTGCGCGGAAGAAACGATGCGTTTCGCGCTTCCCCGCTCCGGGAAAGTGGACGCCCCATGTCGGATCCGCCATAAATAACGAGGTCCGTTGACTTCCGTTTGCCCTCGCAAGGTGAGGGTGCAGAACGTTTTCCGCAGAAATCTGTTATAACAAACGTGGTTTGGGAACTTTCGAAATTTACAACACATATGGACATGTTGTCCCCAACCATCCTGTGGTGTTGGGTCCTCGTTTTGAAGAGACGGTCCCCACGTTCCTCCTTTCTCCTCCTCTTCCTCCCCCTCCTCCTCCCCCTCCTCCCCCTAATACTCCCTCCTCACTGCGTTTCCCCAACCTATTACACCGTTTTGTGGCCCCATAAGGAGCCCACCGAAGGCCCCAGTGGGGGTGCCCGCATGCGTCCGCCACGCCCAGAGCAGCGTTTCGTGGCCCCATAAGGAGCTCCACCGAAGGCCCCGGCGGGGGTGCCCGCGTGCGTCCGCACCCAGTGCAGCGTGTCGTGTCCACATTGGGAGCTCCACCGAAGGTTCCAGTGGGGGCGCCCGCATGCGTCCGCCACACCCAGTACAGCGTGTCGTGTCCCCATCGGGAGCTCCACCGAAGGCCTCAGTGGGGGTGCCCACATGCGCCCGCCACACAGCGCACAGCGGTTCTTGGCCGCATAGGGAGCTCTATCGAAGGCCCCAGTGGGGGTGCCCGCCACCCAGTGCAGCGCTTCGTGGCCCCATAGGGAGCTTCACCGAAGACGATATTCACAATTGCGGTACCCACAACTGCATATGGTTGGGTCCTTCGCCAGGATATTTGGTGTATGTTTCCGTGCTTTTTTAACTTTCACACATAATCCCCTTGTAGGGGGACATGCCCGACCTAACCCGTGCCGCTGGCCCCCAGCTCCATCCTCGCCCTGTCATAGTCTTCCTGCCCCTCTCGCCCTGGTCCACCCTCCGCCGAGAGGACGACCCTGGAGTTCCAGGAGTTCAGGCCGGCAGGGCGGGAACCGGGGGCAGGCGGGAGCCTTGCGACGGGGGCCAGTGCACAAGGGGGTCCGCCAGCGCGCCGGACCCGGCAGGATCCTGCAGAGCCAGGGGTGTATTGACATTGACCTGGGCTTGCGTGCAGGATCTTGCAGGATCCTGCAAAGCCTGACTGACCTGGGTTTGCACTGGGCGGGGCCAGTGTGTCCCAGCGGGGCAAAAGACGCGTCGGGGTCGCCCGCTGGTGCCTCGCAGGACGCGAGACCGACAAGAAAGCATTGGCGCGACCCGCGCCAGCTGCCGCAAGCGCGGTGGCGAACCCAAGCCAACATTGATACCCGAGTTGGCCATAATGGGGGGAGGGTCTGACCTGGGAGGGGGGTCTGATTTGACGCCGTCTTGGAGGGTTCCTGGAGGTCGGGGCAAGAGGCCGCCTTTTCATGGCTGGTGTGGAGGGTTCAAGAATTGGACGAGGAGAAACTCGTTCCAGAGCGTCCAGAACGATCCCAGGTGCCCCCCCCCTTCCCTGGAGCCACAGGTTGGCAGAGCGAGCAAGCCTACCCCCCTCACCCCTGAAGGAGTGCTCAATCGATCCCTCTCCAATCTTCCGCCCCCTCTTCTCTGGACGCCCGAAATGGGTACGTTAAAAATGCGCGAGGCCCAGCAGCAAATGCTGTCCAACACCGACAGCGGCCGCTGTTGGGCTGGTGGCCTTGGCTGGACAACGTCGGCGGCGACACCGACAAAGAGTCCAGCCAGCACAAAATGAGCAGGAAATGCTGTCTGTCTCCGTGCCCATTCTTTCCGCGCCCTTTTCGATCCTACAGTCTACGCGTAAAATCAGGATGCACGATAAGGACGCAAGGGTTGTGGCAGGCCCTGCTGGCACTTTTCGAGCGGGGCGCGGCCACTGAAAGTGGCCATGGATGGGCCGAAGGGGAAAGGATGCAAGGGTAACCTTAGAGAGTCGCTCATGCTTGCCATGCGCCTTGACTGTACCGACCTCCCCCTCCGCGAGGAGACGCCCCCATCCCCTTCGCGTCTCCTTATCGCTTCTTCCTCGTGTCTTTACGGTCGACCCGAATGGTAAGGATGGTCAACATTCCCAAGGGCACCCTTGCATCCCTGCGCTTTCGGCCCATCCTTGGCCACTTTCGTTGGCCACGCCCCGCTAGAAACGCTTCGGAACGGCCTTCCAAGGCCCTGGCATCCTTATCGTGGATCCGTCTGATACGGGTCGACTGTGTCTGGTTCGCTTCTGTGCCCAATCCTCTCCTGGTGCATCCTGCCGCTCGTGGACGGGCGCCTGACCGTCCTTGACTACACTTGCGCCCGCGGACTTTCAAAAAGTACCGAGCTTCCCCTTCGCGAGGAGGCGCCCCCTCCTGGGGCAACCAACAGGCACCGATAACCGCTACAGTGGAAGCCCATGCCAAGAAGCACCCCGCTTGCCCCCAGGGTGCCCTTGGTCTCTTGGGTTTCGATGGTTCTGCAGTTGGAAACGCGACGTTCCCACACCAGAAAGTCGATGCATGTCCTGGGGTTCAGGGTTGGGCTTCTTGTGGAAGGTTAAGGACCAGCCCAGAGGAGGAGGAGGAGGAGGAGGAGGAGGAGGAGGAGGAGGAGGAGAACGAGGAGGAGGAGGAGGAGGAGGAGGAGGAGGAGGAGGAGAGGCAGGAGGAGGAGAGGCAGGAGGAGGCCATCTCGTGGTCGAGCCCAGGCTGTGCTCCCCGGACCTCTCCCGGGGTGCGCTCTGACCAGGGCTTCGAGGCGAAGCCCGCGCCCGCGGCGAGGGCCTCCCAGGAGGGCCCGAAGAGGGGAAACGCGAGGCAAGGAATGCGGTATGTCAGAGCCCCGAATCATCAGGGGTAACTCGGGTCAGGGCTAACTCGGGTTCGTTTTTTGGGATTCCGAACCCGAGTTATCCCGGACCCGAGTTACCCCGGATAGTTCGGGCGTCCAGAGCCCCGAATCATCAGGGGTAACTCGGGTCAGGGCTAACTCGGGTTCGTTTTTTGGGATTCCGAACCCGAGTTATCCCGGACCCGAGTTACCCCGGATAGTTCGGGCGTCCAGAGCCCCGAATCATCAGGGGTAACTCGGGTCAGGGATAACTCGGGTTCCTTTCTCGGGAATCCAAACCCGAGTTACCCCGGACCCGAGTTATCCCGGATAACTCGGGCGCCCATTCCGAATTACCGCATTCCGAATGCGGTATGGGTACCCATCGATCGTTGAAAGTAGGTATTTTTGGATTCCCAGATTCCAATCTGTCGGGGGTGGACAGAACCCCCAACAGTGACACGTCGATTAGTGAATGGTCCGTTGTCGGTTCTCGAGAGGGCGCCGCGGCCGTTCTTTTCCAGGCTTGCGCCCGCCAGGTTTGGGCCTCAGGTCGTTTTCACTAAACCACGTTTTACTAAAGGGAGGTCTGTCCATCCCCGAATCTACTTTGAGCGCCTTCCTACTTCAAGAGTCGAGTGGGTTTCCCTCTTCCCTCCTCTTCAGGAGGCGGGCGGAAACCCAATCTATTTCCAACGCCTTCCTACTTCATGTTTCTACCTACTTCTTCCGACCGATGGGTATTGTTTAAGGGAGAACGAAGATTGACACAAACAAAAACTCGGAGGTCCGCGCGGATTTCTCGGATCGGCGCTGGACCCCCCTCGGATCGGCGCCAGGGGGGGTCAAGCAAGCGCGGATCCGAGAAATCCGCGCGGACCTCCGAGTTTTGATGTTTACATGATTCTTCGTTTCCCTAGGTTGACGTCGGGCGTCTCCCTCTACAGGAGGAACATGCAAAAACAGTTAAAAGATAGTCAGGGGGGCTATTGTTTGACTTTCTGGGGTATTTGTTCTAACCATCCTGTGGTGTTGAGTCCTCGTTTTGAAGAGACGGTGCCCCGCGTCTCCTTCCTCCTCCCGCTGCCCACTCCCCCTCCTCCCTCCTCCCATCATCATCACCCACTTCGTACACCCCTCACACGTTTCGTGGGCCCGCAGGGAGCTCCACCGAAGGTCCCAGTGGCTGCGTTCGCGTTTTGGCCGCATGCGGTTCCACCCCTCATTTCAGCACACCCCTCACACGTTTCTTGGCCCCACAGGGTGCTCCACCGAAGGCCCCAGTGGCTGCGTTCGCGTTTTGGCCGCATGCGGTTCAACCCCCCATTTCGGCACACCCATCACACGTTTCGTGGCCCCATAGGGAGTTCCACCGAAGGTCTCAGTGGCTGCGTTCGCGTTTTGGCCGCATGCGTTTCCACCCATTTCAACACACCCCTCACTCGTTTCGTGACCCTATAGGGAGCTCCACCGAATGCCCCAGTGGCTGCGTTCGCGTTTTGGCCGCATGCGGTTCCACCCCTCATTTCGGCACAGCCCTCACACGTTTCGTGGCCCCATAGGGAGCTCCACCGAAGGTCCCAGTTGCTGCGTTCGCGTTTTGGCTACATACCGTTCCACCACCCATTTCGGCGTACTCCTCGCGAGGAGCGTGGCCCCATAGGGAGCTCCACCGAAGGCGCCAGTAGCAGGGTTCGCATGGCGGCCTCGGGTCACTTCGGCACACCCCTTGCGAGGATCGTGGCCCCATATGAGATCCACTCAAGACCCCGGTGGCAGGGTTCGCATGGCGGCCTCGGGCCATTTCGGCACACCTCTCGCGAGGATCGTGGCCCCATGGGAGCTCCACCGAAGGCGCCAGTGGCAGGGTTCGCATTGCGGCCTCGGGCCATTTCGGAGCACTCCTCACGAGGATCGTGGCCCCATGGGAGCTCCACCGAAGGCGCCGGTAGCAGGGTTCGCATGGCTGCCTCGGGCCACTTCGGCACACCCCTCGCGAGGATCGTGGGAACTCCACCGAAGAAGCCAGTGGCAGGGTTCGCATGGCGGCCTGGGGCCATTTGGGCACACCCCTCGCGAGGATCGTGGCCCCATAGGGAGCTCCACCGAAGGCGCCAATAGCAAGGTTCGCATGGCGGCCTCGGGCCATTTCGGCACACCCCTCGCGAGCATCGTGGCCCCATAGGGAGCTCCACCGAAGGCGCCAGTGGCAGTGCTCGCATGGCTGCATCGGGCCATTTCGGCACACCCCTCACAAGGATAGTGGCCCCTCCACCGAAGGCGCCAATAGCAAGGTTCGCATGGCGGCCTCGGGCCATTTCGGCACACCCCTCACGAGGATCGTAGCCCCATAGGAGCTCCACCGAAAAAGCCAGTAGCAGGGTTCGCATGGCGGCCTCGGGCCATTTCAGAGCACTCCTCACAAGGATCGTGGCCCCATAGGGAGCTCCACCAAAGGCGCCAGTGGCAGGGTTCGCATGGCGGCCGCTGGGCATTTCGGCACACCCCTCACGACGATCGTGGCCTCACAAGAGCTCCACCGAAGGCCCCAGTGGTAGCCTCATGGCTCTCAGAGCCGTTTCCTGCATCATCTCCTGGGTCAGAGGGACGCCGTCCTCGTCGTCGTCGTCGGCGCCCGCGAAAACGGTTACGAACGTGTCCCTGAGCATGTCGGGCTCCGGCGGGAAGCCGCGGCCGCATAGGAGCGCGGGCGAAGATGGTATTCACAATTGCGGTATTGCGAAGGCCTAACGGCCGGTGCCGCCGACCCTGAAGACGACGAAGATGAAAACGAGCGGGGGGGGGTAGGAGGCGGAGGAGGAGGAGGAGGAGGAGGAGGAGAAGGAGGAGGAGGAGCGGGAGGAGTGGGTGGGGAGTGGGGGAAGAGGATGGTGGAGGGATGGGGATGAGGAGGAGGAGTGGGGGGAAGGAGGAGGAGGAGGAAGGAAGGGTAGGAGGAGGGGAGGAGGAGGAGGAGGAGGAAGGAGGAGGAGGAGGAGGTCGATGATGGAGGAGGAAGAGGAGGAAGAGGTGGAGGAGGAGGAGGAGGAGGAGGAGGGGAGGAGAAAGGAGGAGGAGGAGGAGGTGGGGTGGAGAGGAGGAGAATGAGGAGTAGGAGGAAGGCAGAAGGAGGAGGAGGTGGAGGAGGAGGCAGGAGGAGGGGAGGGGAGCTGCTAGCAGCGAGAGGAAGCGAGTAGGAGCAACCAAGTCTGGAGGCCTCGGCTCTCGACGGAAATGGGAGGGAGAGGGCGGGGACCAAACGTCTCCGAAAATCAATGAGTATGGCCTCTCCGGGCCTTCTTGGGAGTCCTTGTAGGGCTCTTTTGACCCGTCTGAGGGTCCCCTTTGGCCGTCCTCAGGCGTTCTTGGGCTGTCTTGTGGGGCTTGGGCCGTCTTGGGGCGCTCTTACTGATCCGTCGTGGCGACCCCCCTCCCTCCTCCAGCGCATCTACTGACGGCCCCTCTGTAAAAGCCGCAAACGGGGGATGCGTATCTGGGTGGCGACCCAGCGCCCCCCCCCTGGGGGGACCCACCCACCCTGGACCCCCCCCAAGGGTAACCCCCCGGGAACGCCCCCCTCACCCAGCTGGTTGGGAACGGATCACAGGGAAGGGGCTTCCCTTCGACGCATTTACGACGTGGCTCATTTTCGTTTTGGTTGGCGCGCTTGGGGAGGAGGGGAAGGGCTCAGGGAAAGGGCGGGTAGCGCCACACGCCGACAGGGCCGGCGGATTTACAACTGCATATGGCTGGGTCCTCGCCAGGACGACTTGGAATTTTTCATCCAGAATCCGCCTGTAGGGTGGACACGCCCGACCCAACCTATAGGTTGGGTAATGTTTTCCCCTCCATCCAGCATCCCCTCCACTCCGCGCCCCCGACCCAGGTGCCGCCGCCGCCGCGCGCGCCGGCGGCCCGGCGCCGCGGCGGCGCCGCCGCGGAGCCAGCGGCGGCGGCCCGCGGCGCAAGCGGGGCCGCGCCGGGGGCGCAGGTCGGCGGGGCGGCCGTGCCGCCGCCGTCTTTCGCGCGTCGTCGGGGCCCCCTCGGGGGCTCGCTGGGGGCGCGTGTCGGGGCCTTCTCCGGGCGAGGGGGCGGCCCCGCCGACCCCGTAGCGCCCCAGAAGCGCGTGGTGGGCCCAAGAGGGGAGGGGGGTCCAGCCGAAAGGGGGTGGTGCAGCAGAGTTGGGGCAGTGTGTGTTGCAAGTGTACTGCGCCGGAGAATCGCATTACACTGGATTGCAGCGAGTGCGTCGCGCGCGAGAATCAGGCAATACTGTCCTCGCGACACGTGAAAGCGAAACTATTAACTTTTTTCCGAGCGGTTCGCTTTCGATTTCGCTTTCTTAACTGTTAACTTTTTCGGGGGAGCCTCGCTTTCGGGCCCAAAGCTCGCCGTCTTCTGAGTTTCGCTTTCACGTGTCGCGAGGACAGTACATGTGCACACGGCTGCAACCACACCAACCTGCTGCAACCTCCCGTATCTGTTGCGCCAAGCATGCTGCACCACTTTCTTTTCGCCGGATCCCATTTTGGTCAGGAGGAAAAGAAACACACAGACACAATTAATCCTCGATTCCCAGAAAATATGGGAAAATATGGGAAGTGGGGGGAAGACAGAAACCCAGAAAATATGGGAAAATATGGGGAATATTTTTATTTGTGTGTATTTATTTGTGTGTCCTGGGGCCCCTTCATTTGGGTCCGCCACAAGGCGCCAGCAGCGCCCGGGAGTTCCAGGAATGTCGCGGGGGAGGGAGTTGGCACTCGGGGGGGGGCAGCCGTGAAGCCATCCCCCCGTCCGCCCCCCCACGACAGAAGTAGCGCTTGGGCCTGAGCCTGCGCTTGGGCCGCCAGCGATGCAATCATCGGGAGCCGATGCAGACCTCCTCCTCCTCCTCCTCCTCCTCCTTCTCCTCCCCCCCCTCCTCCTCCTCCTCCTCCTTCTCCTCCTCCTCCTCCTCCTCCTCCTCCTCCTCCTCCTCCTGCTCCTCCTCCTCCTCCTCCTTCTCCTCCCCCTCCTTCTCAACCCCCTCCTGCCCCTCCTCCTCCTCCTCGCCAGAAGCGTCAGCGACGCCCGTGAGGTGCGCCGCGCGTGCCAGGGCAGCGGGCCTGCGGGCAGCAGGCAGTATGCTTCGGTCGGGCGTGTCCCTTTTCAGGAGGAATCTTTCAAACTAGTCAAACAAGTATGTGGACCATGTTTGGCATATCGTCATGCATGTTGGGGATACTTGTTTGACTATTATTTCCTGTTCGCACGCCCGACCTGACAGTATGCCAGCCTCCCCGCTCGTCCAAGCCAAAACACAGAACGAAGTGATCACTTGGTGCCCGCGCGTGATTCCGTTTTTGCCCCAAGGTGCTCCCGATATTCGGTGGGGTGTGTTGCCATGGATGCTGGGTTCGCACCCAGTCGGGCGGGGGAGGGGGTTGTCCACCATCAAGGCACGGAGCTAAGCCCAGCCCCTCCCCGAAGTGGAGCCCCGAACTGCCCACGCCTTCAAGGGTTGGTGGGATTTCGGTCCTCCTCCTCCTCCTCCTCCTCCTCCTCCTCCTCCTCCTCCTCCCTCCTCATCACTCCTCCTCCTCCTCCTCCTCCTCTCCTCATCCTCCTCCTCATCCTCCTTCCTCCTCTTCCCTCCTACAGGGAATATCGGTGCCTCGGTCGTCTTCTGGCAGCGGCGGGCTCCGGTCGAGGCCGCGGGGCCCCCCTGGAGCGGAGCGGTCGACCGGTCCGCGCGGATTTCACAGGAAATCCCCTGGAGGGAGGAGGAGGAGTGAGGAGGAGGTAGGTAGGAGGAGCACCAGGAGGAGGAGGAGGAGAGGAGGAGGAGGAGGAGGGAGGAGGAGGAGGTAGGGGGGGGAAGGAGGAGGAGGGAGGGGGAGGAGGAGGAGGAGGAGGTGGTGGAGGAGGGCGGGAAAGACCATCTGTTGTGCAGGTAGGGGCTCGAAAGGGTTCTCTGCGGGGAGCCCGCGCCGTGGCCGTGCCTCGCCGTGGCCCAAGGGAAGAGAGGAGGGAAGATAAGAGAGGAGGGGGAGGAGGGGAGGAGGTAGCAGGAAGGAGGAGGTAGGAGGTGGAGGAGGCAGGAGGAGAGAGGAGGAGTGAGGCGGAGGAGGAGGCGGATGGAGGAGGAGGAGGAGGGGGGAGGAGGAGCGGTTTGAGGAGGAGGAGGAGGAGGAGGTGGAGGAGGAGGAGGAGGAGGGGGAGGGGTGAGGAGGAGGAGGAGGAGGAGAGGAGGAGGAGGAGGAGGAGATGGTGGAGGGGGCGGAGGAGGAGGAGGGAGGAGGAGGAGGAGGAGGAGGAGGATGCAGTAGCGTAGCAGAGGATGAGGATTTGGGGGATGAGCCCTGTCGTGTCGTACTCGTCTTGGAGTGTGGGTCACTGCGCCTGGGTTGTGGAATCAGTATGGTCTGCTTTAATCTGCGCCATGCCGCTGGAGCCACGCCAGCCTTGTCGATGGCGGGGAAGAGCTCGTCTCCGCAACTCCACAGCAGCCTGCCCAGGAGGCCTCGGCGATTGGGGCAAGTCTTCCTGCTCATCCCAACGGGGAGCAACTAGTCGGAGGATGAGGAGGAGGAGGAAGATGTGAATCCAAAGTCAGGCGATCGCAAACACGGATCAAGGGGGCGTGGATTGGCGACGGGTCCCGCTTCCATGAAGAATTGCAGACTTCCGCCGCCGAACGAGGCGGCACCGGTACCTCCCCCGATCCATGGATTTGGCGACCGCGCGCCAGATCCATGGATCGCTGATCCAGGTGTGCGCGCCCCTGACGGAGGGGGCGATGGGGAGGGGGCCAGGGCGAGCTTCTGGCCAACTGACCAGGATCGCCCTACGAGGCCTCCTGGAGGCCTCCTGGGGGCCTCCTAGGGGCCTCCCGCAAGGGGGGCGTTTGGTGCAGAGCGGGCCGCGCCGGCAGACGCAGATGCGCGCTGGGCCCAAGGTATGCTTCAGGGGCCATGAGGGCCCCAGGGGCCCTGGCGCCGTCAGACCCGGGCCCCCTGGAAAGCCTTGGGGACGGCGAGGCCCTGGCGCCCCCCTCTCGTCTCCATGCCATCGGGCCGTGCACGTGCCCCCGCCTGCCAAGGTGGGCGCCGAGGCCGTCTCCCGTGACGGCGACGTGTCGGCGGACGACAGCGAGGCTCCCTCGGGAGAGCTTGCGGATGGAGGCGGAGGAGGAGGAGGTGGAGGAGGAGGAGGAGGAGGACGAGGAGGACGAGGAGGACGAGGAGGAGGAGGAGGAGGAGGAGGAGGAGGAAGGAGGAGGTAGGAGGAGGAGGAGGTGTGAGGGGGTAGGGAGGAGGAGAGGAGGAGGGAGGAGGAGGAGGGGAGGAGGAGGAGGAGGAGGAGGAGGAGGAGGAGGAGGAGGAGGAGGAGCGAGGAGGAGGTGAGGGAGGAGGGATATAGGAGGAGGAGGAGGAGGAGGAGGTGAGGAGGAGGAGGAGGGAGGAGGAGGAGAGAGGACGAGGTGGAGGAGGAGGTCGGAGGAGGATGGAGGCGGAGGGATGGAGAGGAGGAGGAGGAGGAGCTCATTCATTCCGGAGGGAATGGGCCAGGGCGGGGTCCGCAAGGGAGCGCGCGCGGTTTTGGCGTTCGCTTCGCTTCGTGTCTCTCCTACGTCCATTCTCACGGTTTTCCCCTCGGCCCTCCAGGAGCCATGAGCCTCGCCCCGGTCTCTCAACACACACACGCACGCACACACGCACACGCACACGCACACGCACATACACACACACGCACGCACACATACACACACAACCACACACACACGCACACGCACACGCACACGCACACGCACACGCTCACTCACACACACACACACACACACTTTTGGCGTCGCGGCCACGCGCGCAGCGACGCGACGGAGGCAGTCGGAGAAGCGCCCAGAAGCTATCGAGGCCACAGAGACGGCCAGGAACTCACGCAGCTTGGCGTGGAGGACAAGGTTCACCCACACCCCACAACACACACATATGCACACACTTGTTCGTCTGCGGTCAACGGAACACGAATGTTGGATAAGCTCAAGGCAGATTGACCACCCCGTGCAGCAGCGCAGCCGAAGCCGAAGCCCCAGTGAAGCAGACTCGAAGCATCGACCGACGAGCAGGAGCGGTTGCCGTCGGCCACCCTCCCCTGGCGGGGGGTCGTCGCCCCCCCCTGGCGGGGGGTCGTCGCGGTTGCCGTCGGCCACCCTCCCTCTGGAGGGTTTCTCCGAAGGGCTTAGGCGACCCGTCCTCCTCCTCCTCCTTCTCCTTCTCCTCCTCCTCCTCTTCCTCTTCCTCCCTCCTCCTCCCTCCTCCTCCTCCTCCTCCTCCTCCTCTTCCTCCTCCTCCTTCGCCTCGCGAGTGCTGCCCGAAGAAGGGAACACGGCAGCCGAGAGTGCCAGACCCTCGGCCACGGCAGGGCGGGGAGGCGGAGGCGGGCGGGGGAGCCGGACGGCAGCCGAGGGGGGGCGCCGAGGCCGGCAGAGGCGCCCAGGGGCGGCGTCGGCCACGGCGGGGCTCGCGGAGGCCCCGAGCGAACGGGATCGCAGGAGGAGGAGGAGGAGGAGGAGGAGGAGGAGGAGGAGGAGGAGGAGCCCACCGCTGCCCCCCGGGGCCTCGCGAAGCCGCCTGGCCACGTCCTCCTCGTACGCTGCGCCCGAGGCATAAACATACCTCGCGGGGGAACGAAGAGTGGCATAAACATAAAAAATCTTTACGCTTCGCGTATCCCCACCAGCCCATCTCACAGCAGCAACTCTCGCGAAGCATGCCGACGGTCGTGTTATTCAGGCGTGTGTCCGCTTGGCCCCGCATATCTCCCCTGTTCCTCCTTCCTCCCGCCTCCTTGTGCATCCTCCTTGTGAGGTGAGGCGTTTGGGCACCTCGTCCGCGTGCGAGTTGTTCGGGTCCTTCGTAGGTGGACTCGTGGTAGTAGTAGTAGTAGTAGTAGTAGTAGTAGTAGTAGTCGTCGTCGTCGTCGTCGTCGTCGTCGTCGTCGTCGTCGTCGTCGTCGTCGTCGTCGTCGTCGTCGTCGTAGTACTAGTACTAGTAGCTGATGGAGTAGGAATCGTAGTTCTAGTAGTAGTAGTAGCAGTAGCAGGAGTAGAGGTAGTAGTAGTAGTAGCAGTAGCAGCGACACTAGTAGTAGCAGTGGCAGTAGAAGTAGCCGTCGTCGTAGAAGTAGTAGTGCTCGTAGTAGTACTAGCACGAGTAGCAGTCATAGCAGTAGTAGTAGTAGTAGTAGTAGTAGTAGTAGTAGTAGTAGTAGTAGTAGTAGTAGTAGTAGTAGTAGTAGTAGTAGTAGTAGTAGTAGTGTGATTAGGTAGTAGTAGTAGTAGTAGTAGTAGTAGTAGTAGTAGTAGTAGTAGTAGTAGTGTGATTAGGTAGTAGTAGTTCGTAGTTAGTGTAGTTACGAAGTCTGTTAGTAGCAGCTAGCAGCGTTAGCCTGCAGCTGCAGCAGCTGCAGCAGCAGCAGCAGTAGTAGTAGTAGTAGTAGTAGTAGTAGTAGTAGTAGTAGTTGTTAGTAGTTAGTAGTTAGTAGTTAGTAGTTAGTAGTTAGTAGTTAGTAGTTAGTAGTTAGTAGTTAGTAGTTAGTAGTAGTTAGTAGTAGTAGTAGTAGTAGTAGTAGTAGTAGTAGTAGTAGTAGTAGTAGTAGTAGTAGTAGTAGTAGTAGTAGTAGTAGTAGTTAAGTAGTAGTAGTAGTAGTAGTAGTAGTAGTAGTAGTAGTAGTAGTAGTAGTAGTAGTAGTAGTAGTAGTAGTAGTAGTAGTAGTAGTAGTTAGTAGTAATAGTAGTAGTAGTAGTAGTAGTAGTAGTAGTAGTAGTAGCAGTCGTCGCAGTAGTAGTAGTTGTGGTGTGGCTTGGTCAGTAGTAGTAGTAGTAGTAGTCCGTAAGTAAGTAGTGTAGTAGTAGTAGTTAGCAGCATGTAGTAGTAGGTGAGTAGTCGTTAGTTAACAGCTGCAGCAGCCAGCAGCAGCAGTAGTGTAGTAGTAGTTTTTTAAAACAAAAAATCAAAGAAGAATAAAATCTAGTAGTAGTAGTTGTAGTAGTAGTAGTAGTATTAGTAGTAGTAGTAGTAGTAGTAGTAGTAGTAGTAGTAGTAGTAGTGGTAGTTGTAGTAGTAGTAGTCGTAGTCGTAGTCGTAGTCGTAGTCGTAGTCGTAGTCGTAGTTCTAGTAGTAGTAGTCGTAGTACTATCTCCGAACAGCAATCCCAGCGAAACATGCCGGCAGCCGTTTGGTGCAATCGTGTGTCTGCCTGCTTTTGCATATATCCTCTGCTCATATTTCCTTCTCCCTCCTTGTACAGTTTCCTGGTGGGGGAGCCGAAGGAGGACGAGTCGGAGGAGGAGGAGGGAGGGAAGGAGTTGGGAGGCAAGACGGAGGGCGTTCGTCGTCGAGTCCAGCGATCTTTCCCGACCAGCGTCGTCGTTGTTGCCATTCTGGCTCACAGTATTTCAGTGTGGCTGTGAGCTTCGCTCCGCCTACCAGTACTCGTTTCCGCCTACTAGCAACATTTTTGCGGCTGGCATGGAGAAGCGCCCGTACGCTTTTGTACCCTTGCTCGCCACGGGGGCTCCTTGGAGCGAGCGTGGAGAATGTCGGTCCTCGGCCTTCTCGTACCATTTTGAGCTTCGACGGTGCGCTCGGCGCGGTGCACTTCGGTCCGCATGGCGTGGAACGTGATGGCGAGGCACACACCGCGAGGGCAGTGAGCGCAGCTCTGCTCACCACGACGTCGACGACGACGACAAAACGACGACGACGCCGAGACAACGACGACGACGGCGTCCACGACGTCAATGGTGACTTTCCTTGCGAGCGGAACGCGCGCGCCCATCGTGTTTTTGGCACGAGGTGGCTGCGTTGCGCGGCTAGCGCACATGGCCCATCATGGTCACGGGCTCGCCACTTGTTGTTGTGATGGATGACACACCGTCCTCCATTGGCCCCGCTGTCGTGGCAGCAGTTTGTCGTTGCGGCTCCCGCTCGGGGACATGCAGGCACGGCGGCCACCGCGGGATGTCCCAGAGACGCGCCACTTTCGAGGTTTTGTTGGCACGATCGAACCACAGTGCGATATCAGGGCATTAACTCTCCCCCGTACATATACACACATACATTCCAAACATAAACACTCACAAATCATACACATATAAACACACACTAACGAAGCACAGAAAGAAATGCACAGAAGTTGAATCTTCTTCCCCTCCCCTTCCCGAGGGGGTGAGGGGGGCCGCCGTCGTTCCTTTGGGCGTCGATCGAGCCCTGGCGAGGCCTGGCTGTCGAACTTCCAAGTTTCGTCTGCCGCGCTCGTGTGCAGTAGACGCGTCGAGCGTTACGCAACGCGTTTGCTGAATTGTACCGCCTTGTCTTATGGAAAAAACGGATAAAAAGTACAGCAGGCAGAAGGCTCTCCGAACCCTTGCAGGAGTACAGTGTCCTGAGAAGGCTTGCAGGTATTCAAGAGCTCCAGGCGATCTGCATGAGTGTCGGCCTATACCGCCACAGTCTATGCACTGGTCTTCGGCGTTTCTTGCCTCACGATATCCAGGGGCCTGCGGCCTAGCCCGCCACCGTGGTGCAGGGATCCTCGATCTGCAGGGTATACTAATATACAAGGCTGTCTGGCTCAAGCGTCAGATTTCTTCACGGGTTACCGCAGGGTTTCTAAGTGAATAACGGGTGACAATGGACACTACAGTTCGTTGGTGACCCTGGAGTCGCTCGTTTCAGACATGTCATGTGGGGTTGAGTGTCTTGTGTCACGTTGAATCGCGCGCGGTTTTCTCTCAAGTTTTGTGTTTGAGTCAGCATTCCCCGACGACGACGACCACGACCACGACCACGACCACGACGACGACGACCCTGCCTCTCGCTCCGGGCGGCCGTCTTGGCTGCTGGCAGCTGGGCGGCTCTGGGCGGCGTCGGGGCTCCGCTGACTGATGGCTAGATGCATATATGCATATCTGCCCCATGTATTGCGTGTAGACGTATGTATATATAGGTAGAAGGGTATACATGTACATATATACAAAAAATATACGTATATACCCATACCTAACACGAACGCAGTTCAGAGTCGATGGGGAAAGGGGGTTTGGCCCGCGGCCTGTGGCGGGGCCTGGGACTCTGTGACGGGGCCCAGTGCCTC